CAAAAGATCAATTAAATCAACATAATTTAAACTTTCCACTTTATCAGGATATCACATTGCCTTATATACATCAAATTTAACGATCTCACCGTCGAATTCTATAGTTAAAATTCCGCTCCTTACGTCAATTTTTGTATTTGCAGTGCTTAGGAAAGGGCGCCCCAAAAGAATATCAGATGATGTGCTTGTGCGATCATTCTCCATGTCGATTATATAAAAATCGGCGGGAAATATCAAGTCGCTTGCCTTCACCAATACATTCTCTAAAAGTCATTTTGGATAGATCACCGACCTGTCGGCAAGTTATATCGAAATCTTTGTATCCTTCAAAGGGTCGTTAGTAACCATTTTATAAACAGATAGAGGCATTACATTAATTGATGCACCAAGATCACACATTGCTCGTTTTATCTCAACTTTTCCACTTTTACAAGGGATTGCAAACATACCTTGGTCCTTTAGTTTAGGTGGTAACTTTCGTTGGAAAACGGCTGAGACATTCGCTCCTAAGTTCACTTTCTCGACTCCGGTAAGCTTTCTTTTGGTCGTACATAGATCCTTTAATAACCGGGCATACCTTGGAACCTTCTGAATAACCTCAAAGAGAGGTATGTTAACTTCCACCTTCCGAAGTACGTCTAATATTTCATTTTCCTTAGTTTTTTTGATCTTTTTAACTAACCTTGATGGAAAAGGCGGTGGCACGTCATAGTGAGATAAAGTTGGGTCGTCTATTTATTCTTCGTTATTCTCTTTCTAGGACCTTGAATCATCAGTCTTTTTCTCATTTTGGGTTGCTTCGTTTGATGGAACAGGTGGTGCCACTATTGTACCGCTCCGAAGAGTGATGGCGCTGACGTTCCCCCTCGGGTTTACTTCAGTTTCAGATGGAAGTTTACCTTGTGATCCCAAGCGACCTACGGTTTGAGCCAGTTGGCTCATCTGCTTGTATATCTCTTGTAAGCGGGTTTCAGTATGATTCTGAAACTTTTCCTGTGAAAGTGCTAACCTCTCGACAATTGATTCTAATTAGGGCTGAGCAACGAAATCGAGAAAACCAAAAAACCGACACGAACCGAGTAAAACGGTTCGGTTCAGTTCAGTTTGGCTTTAAACGGTTCGGTTTTCAGTTCGGTTTAAAGGCTTTATTTTTTTGATTCGGTTCGGTTCGGGTTTTCCATATGGAACCCATTTATTCCATATTGAACCGAATAGGCAATTTTTGTAAAAAAAATTATAGTTTCAAGTGTTTTTTTTATTGAAAAACCGATAAACCGAACCGAACCGAACCAAAAAACCCGAACCGTTAAAAAAACTGAACCGAACCAAAAAAACCGGTTTCGGTTTTTTTGATTTTTTAACTATTCGGTTTCGGTTTAAATATTGAAAACCCGTTTATTTCGGTTCGATTCAATTTTTGGTAAAAAACCGAACCGAACCGAACCGAATACACCCCTAATTCTAATTATGACTTCTGTGGTTGTTGCGGTGGTGGAGGTCTTTCTTGATAGCCTTGATTCGGTCTTGAGTTCTGAGCATAACTGAAGTTCGGATGATCCCTCCATCCTGGGTTGTATGTATTACCGTAAGAATTATAAGCTCTTTGGGGATGTCCCGGAAAATTCCCGACTGTATTGGCTTGAGTTGATGCGTCGTCTTGAATCAGTGGATAACCGTCTGTCGGATGATCAAGTAATGCACATATTCCACATACTCGGTTTTGCCCTATCTTTCCTGAAACAAGAGAGTTTACGACTTCAGTAAGCTTATCGATTTTATTTTCTAAGGAAGATGAATTTATCTCATGAACCCTTCGAGAAGGTTCATTATTTGTGCAAAATTGTTGGGAGTTTGCAGCCATTGTCGATATTAAGTCCCTAGCCTCAGTAGGAGTCATATTCACCAAGGCTTCACCGCTAGCTGCATCGATCATCTTCATTTCCAGGGGGATAATCCTTCATAAAAGTATTGAAGGAGTGTTTGTTCAGTTAACCCATGTTGTGGGCAACTAGAACATATCTTTTTAAACCGCTCCCAGTAGTCGTAAAGTGACTCTCCATCAAGCTGTTTGATTCCGAGTATTCTTCTTCGTAGTTCACTTACTTTTTCCGCAGGGAAAAACCTGTTAAGAAAAAGACGAGTCATGTGAGCCCACGTAGTAATAGAATTAGGAGGAAGATAAAATAACCACTCTAATTGGCTAAGGAAAAAGGAAAAGCTCTAAGTTTAATTTGGTTCTCGGTTACTCCTTGTGGCGTCATGCTAGAGCAGACCATGTGGAATTCCTTGAGATGTTTGTGTGGATCCTCGTTTGGCAATCCGCGGAATGTAGGGAGGAGATGAATAAGGCCAGTTTTCAACTGGTATGGAGTTTCTCCTTGGGGAAAATCAATGAACATAGGTCCTTGTTCAGTGGGTGTCGCGGCTAACTCCCGAATAGTAAGTTCGGCCATCAGATTTGTATTACCTGAATTTGATTCTTATTCTGGATTTGTTTGTTGTCTCTTTCTTTTTCGAAGTGTCTGTGCGTGGAGTCTCCTAGCTTTAGCTTCGATCTCCGGGTCGTACTCCACTAATGCGCCCGGATTAGTCCTGGTCATAAATCAAAAGTAAACAAAAATTAGTAACTTTGGCGAAGTTCCCGGCAACGGAGCCAATTTGACAACTGTCGTTTCGATGTCAAAATAATTTCCTTCTTCTCGGATAATAAATAAAGGAAAATTCGTAGCGTAGAGAAGTAGGGTCGAATCCACAGGGACGTGGAAAATTCTTAATTTATGTTTGATTGGTCTATGTCAGGTGTGAAAAATAGTAAAATGAGGGGTTTTGGTAGAATGAGATTTAAGTAGTAATAAAAACGATTAAATAAATAAAAGCGATTAAAGTAAAAAAATAAGAGAATAAAGGTTGTGAATAAATACGGTAAAAATAGCCTCAAGCCTTGCTTTGACTCAATTTTCTTTATATCATCGAATAAGATTTTCTCTTCGGGATTCAAGTCGGTTACTTTGTCTACGAGGGCTATCCCCTTGACTTTATCTTGTATACCGAATACCCAAGGCAATCTTTCCAGCTTCGGGAATTGATTCTATCAACATCTATTGTCGTAAACCAATTACCGCTTAAGTTTGTGGCGACCGACTCGGATTGTTGTTTCTATAACCGTAAATTCCGATCTCAAATCCCTCTTGGCGAAGCTATCTCGCCAAGTGTGTTCCCAGGAAGTCGAATTGCTTTCTATAAGCCGAATCTTCCTCCCACACATTTAATCGCAACAACCTCTTGACCAAAGTCAATCTTTGATTTTGAAAACTGTTTTGATTTTGAAAAAGAATAAGCACAGAGATTGAGAGAGATTTCTGAAGATATTAGGGACCTATTTCAATTCTCCCGTTAGAATTGAGTCATCGCGACAGCTCCCGGCTTATGAAAAGTTTAGCTAAGCATGACAAAAGTCATACTTAGCATATTAAAAACAAGTTTGAAAATAAAGAAAAATAAAAGAACTTGAAAAGGAAAAAGAGAAAACTTTTATAAAAACTAGAGAGAAAAGAAGAATGTATTCTGAATGATGAGTTTAGGTTTACCCCAAGTGGGTATTTATAGCCTCTCAAACCCTAAGAGATAAACAAAGAAAATAAATAAAATAATCTTAAAAGATAATTGTTTTAAATTTAAATTCAAAATTAAATTAGTCTCCTAATACAACTCTACTCGTCAATCCTCCAGAAGGCGTGCAAATGAAGTCTTCCAAAAACCGCCGTTGACTGAACCTTCTAGAAACTGCCACGTTAGATCGCGTCGTGCCCAGAGTTGTGCCCATATCTCCAGCCGTGACCAAATAAATAAATAAATGCAGAATTCACCCGTTTTGTCACAAATTCTGGAAAACAATGATCTGTACAAAAATAAGTATAACACGACCAATTCAGCAGCAATAATTCCACAAAATCGAAGAAATAATGAAAAAAGATTAACTATTCTGAACACTCATCACACCCAATAATAATAAAATCAATATAAATAATAATATTTCCGGTAACTTTTTACTGATTTTGTTAAAGTAATAATAACAAAACCGATAACGATTTTCTTTAGTCGTATATTAAGATTGCAGCATGTGAGGCTTTTTGCTCGACCGTTTTCTTCGAAAGGCACTATTTCCGTGGTGGACGACAACGGCAGAAGAAAAGCATATTAAAAATTGATAAATTCTAAACTTTTCCTTAAACCCCTATAGATTTACAAAATGATCCATAATTAAATTTTATCTAAAATTCAAGGATTAAAACAAAAATTAAACAATTTTATTAACATGCCTAATCATCAAGTTGTTAAACCTTTAACGACCATTTATGGTAAGTGATCACATCTTAATCAAAACGAAATGAGAGTAATTACGAATTAATTTTTTTAAATCGAGTGACCATACATTAAAAAATAAAAAAAGTTACCAATTTTGTAGTTTACCCAACAATGTACTAATTAAATTTGAAAAAAAGGATTAAAAATAGAAAAAAAACTAAAATGTTTTTAAATCGAGTGACCATACATTAAAAAATAAAAAAAGTTACTAATTTTGTAATTTACCCAACAATGTACTAATTAAATTTGAAAAAAAGATTAAAAATAGAAAAAAAAACTAAAATATTTTTCCCACGCTTCAATAATAATAACTAATAAAAATACACAGCTCTCCGTTCTGTGATCTGATCGGAGCTCCCGCCTCCTTTCTCTTGTTTGTTTCTTTTTTTTTCCATTTAATTTTAGTTTTTGTTTTTGTTTTAATCTCAAAATTTCGTAATCTTCTATCTCTTAATTATCGAATCTCGTGTTTGTTGATCTGCTTCGAAGAGGCAAGAGAGGGGCGGGGTTTTTTTGTGTGGAAGCTTTGTCGCTGAACTTGATAATTTATCTATTTCACCTTTTTTCTTGTGAATTAGTAGGGGGGGGGGGGTTAGAATCGTTAATTGAATAGATTTTTACGAGGTTTTCGAGAAATGGCGTCGGCTCAGGTTTTGACTAGTTCGCGGAAACAAGGACATTTAGAAGCTGGGAAACGACGGGTACATTTTTTTCATCCTTATTTTTTTCCTATATTGTTTGATTTTGATTATTTGTTGTTTTAGTGGTTTATGTTTTGAGATCTGGTCGATGATTTTGTTTCTCATTAAATTTATTAGGCATATATAGTCAGCTATTTAGAAAATTAATTTCAAGGTTGGACTAGAATTGAGGGTGTATTTTGGTATTTTTATATATGATCTGTGGAACATTTGCATTGTTTTGGTAGATCATGGCTAGAATTGATGGTATTTGGACTCAATTATTTTGCTAGATGATACCTTTTGGAAGATAAAGTGCTTTTATGCATTAAATCTTATGTTTGTGACGATAAGGTGATGCCATTGGAGCTAAAAAGGGAATCCAATGTTTTTTGTTTTTCTTCGTAAATTGAATCAATGCTACTGTTTGTATTCAAGCTGGAAAGGATGAAAAAACTTTATTTGACACTCTAATAGGCTGTGATTTCTATGAAGAGTAAATTTAAGTTGCCTAACTGATAGCGTTGCTGATATGCTTTTGTACCGGAGTAATGTATCTTATTGCTACTTCCATTTTGTGATGGGTTGGGTCAGTTCTGGTTGTTTGGAACTGTTCTTTGATTTGTTTCGGGTCATTCTCGTCATATTAATTAGGACCACGAAACAAAAATAATTCCCATCCTAGAGTTGCATGTTTTGTCTTGGACTGCTGCGCTCTTTACATATTTTGATAAGTTAATATCCTCCTAAATAATCCCGTACGTTGATTGGATTTTGTATAATTTTACTCTGGGTTGTACCTACAATAAAAAAAATTTAGTTGCATATTTTTAAGCAAATGTGTATTTTTCATTTTTTGTAAATGAGAAAATAATTCGTTGAAGTATATCCCATGTATGGTTACAATTCATACCTCCTTTCTTGCAGCTTGAGGAATTTCGTAAGAAAAAAGCAGCTGAGAAAGCCAAGAAGGCAGCATCTACCTCCCAAGCTCAAGCTTCCGATGTTAGCTTAAATGATAAACAGCAATTAGAAACTGAACAACTACGGGTCACCGAATTAGGTGGTGCTGGTACATCTGATGGACCTGAGCCCTCTTCTGTAAAAACAATTAACAACTATAAAACATTTGAAGCTTACTCAAACAAAATGAATGATTATAATTCATCTTCTACAAAAGCACATACGCATGCAAAAAGTCAAGAAAATGAGAAATATGGTACTTCATATAATGCTGGACCATTGTCTAATGATAGTCTACTGACAGAACATATGAGTAATGCCTTTCAAGAACCCAAGTTGAAAGAAGATGGTTATTTGAAGGTCCCTGCAACTTTAAATCCTATTTCTTCTGAATATATTGTTAGTAAAATATCTCCACAGAATTCACTGCAAAACAAAGCCAGTGGCAGCTTGCTAGGTAGTAGCCATGGCCCATTTTCTTTATATGAAGGTAATGTTGAATATTTGTTTTGAATATGACCGGAATTTATTTCTATATATCTATGTTTTCATCATATTTGGTTTTGCTAGGAAACTAACATAGCATAGCATTTTCTGTGGTTTAACTGCAGACCCTGATCAATCTACCTCAGGTAGAACAGAGTCTATCCGAGAAGTTGGACAGAACTTGCAGGGAACAGCAGAATTTAAGGAACCTATGATTTCTAATTTTGGAGAAAGAAAACTCAGTAGTTCATCCAGTGGTTTTCCAAGTGTGCATATTCCATCCATACAAACATCTGGGTCATCAGAGTTAAGTTTTGATTTCAGAAATTCCTCGAGTTACACGTTACAGCATTCAGTCACAAGTGATACTAGTTCCACGAGATCTCGCCCGTCTTTCCTTGATTCTCTTAATGTTTCTGGAGTTTCTTCTGGGTCTCATTTTCAACTTAATCAACCTGCAAAGGATGTATCAGCCTCCCACAGTTCACAATTCAACAGTAGTAATGCAATAAGATCATCTCCTTTTGAGAAACCATTAACAGAGACTGGAAATGTTGGAACTTACTCCAAGCTTGCATTCCCCGTTTTTCCTAGAGGCAGTGAGGACTCTGGTCATTTTTCAGCTCCTGCTAGTATTAATGGTGACCATTTGAAACTGAATATTGCTAATGAGAATATCTTGAGAAGAAGAATGAATTCTACTGTATCAAACAGAATGAGGATTTTGCAGCTTTGGAGCAGGTACTCATATCTTCTATTATTGAGGCTCCATTGTTCCCAAATTTCTAATGATTCTTCTGTTTTATGGTTTTCCCTTGGGTGATTTATACTGCTTGAGTGCTTGTAATACGGAGTTCCGTAGTAACATGAAAACACATTTCTTGAAGTGCACTTTTTGATGTCTTAGCAATATCTCATTATAGGTATCCAAGATTATATTTAACTCATCTGATGCAACTTGACATTCCATAATGTATATGAAATTTACTATTAGCTTATGTTCTATCCAAAAGAACCATGAATCTATTTTCTTCCTATAGCTGTATAGGGATCTATGTAGTTGTTTGAAATATACTGGAGAAGAAAGGTTTATGGGTCTCTAGAATGCAAAAGAAAAAGGGACTGTCATTCACCAGTCTAATATTTATGTGCTAAAATATATGATGTTGCTTTAAGTGGTGAAAAATCTAGGCTGGTAATTTAGAGTTTAGTTGAGGGATGCTGATTTTTTTTTATAAAAAAGGCCTCATTGTTCCTCTATGGTGAAACCGTAATGGATAAGAATATTCTTATCTGTAGATCTATGTCTTGTTTCACCATCTTATCTTTCGGTGTGGATGAGCTGGAGTAGGGTGGTGTTTGGTTTGGAATGGTAGGTTTGGATATTAAGAGGCAAGGAAGAGGTGACTTGTGACCCTTGAGCGTTTTAGTTATAATAGACTTTTTCGTATTTCAAGCCTTAATTTCATGTTGGTACCTTAGAGATGAGCTACTAGAAATGGCTGGTCAAAGACCTCCTGAAAACCATTGAGACGAAACCATTGCCATAGATTTTGAAGTTTCTAATATACTCACCCTTCAACTTTTGATGTAAAAGACTATAGTTTTTCATATGTTGTTTGTCAAAATGGTTTTGTTTATTGACTTTTTTCTGGTACATTGTTTTGAATTATTAATTTATTTATTCTTATTGTGCAGCATATTGAAGATTTGACTCAGGAAAAGTTTTCATTGCAACGAGCTCTTGAGGCCTCACGTACATTAGCAGAATCTTTGGCTGCTGAAAATTCATCTTTGACAGATAGTTATAATCAACAGGTGTGCTTCCTGTTATTAGATTAGCAACCTCACTACATGTCATGGTCATGATATGTTTGTTATTAGTTCATGGTGCATTTTCATTCTAGCTTATTTTATGAAATTATGGAAAGCACTTAAATGTCGCTTCATTGTCCCAATTACTATTCTGAATCCTTTTTAAAAATCTCTTAATTATTTGACTTTTCTCCCCAGAGAGGTGTTCTTAACCAGCTAAAATCTGACATGGTGCACTTACAGGAAGAAATCAAGGCCCAATTGGTTAGTATTCGTTATATTTAGGTACTGGTGGTCAGTTCAGGTTGTTAGAAATAATTGAATGTCTTGCAACTACATACAACTTTATATCATATAATAAATGCAATTGTGTTTATATGGCTAGTTTCATGTGTGCACATATGCACATGGATTTAGACTTTTTTCCACTTTCATAATTTTTTATCTTAAAACTGAGATTTCTACTGCTGTCTATTGCATCTTTAATCATACCTATTAACCAGAAAATGCAGTACAAGGATGAAGGAACCCCTCATGACGTTGTCCTTCTGTAGGCCCTTTTTGATCTACACATGAAGGGATCTTAAGTAGTATTATTATTCCATGTTTATTAAATATGAGGTCTCTTTTGGTTTTATATTCAGGTTGGGCCTCTTCACTTATTGCCCATTAGTTTTAGGTTAGATGCTTAACAACTTTAAATCTATAAAAATGATGCTTAAAGTTGGAGTTTGTTTATTATTCCTTGATTCAATCAGTAAGTATATTGTTTGTAATGGTTTTCTTTTGTTGCAAAAGAATGGAAGCACAGGATGCAATTCAGGTTTGTGCTGTATTTTAAAATGCTATGATGCATGTATTCTGTCTGATAATGTTCAAATGGGCAAGAAAGCTTGTCCCAAAGACATTTTTAATTTTCCTTTTACATTTTATTTCAGTGTACTCTTATATCTGTTTTCTTGCTGACTGTTTGGGATTTGCAGGCAGAGATCGAGTCTTTTAAAATGGAATATGCAAATGCCCGTCTGGAATGTAATGCAGCCGATGAACGCGCCAATATACTGGCTTCTGAAGTCATTGGTTTGGAAGAGAAGGTAACAAATGTTTTAATGGGTGACGTTTTTTCTTCCCTTTCTAATATCATTCTATTCATCGCAGAACCTCTCTCTCTAGACAACAATGCAGAGAGATTGGCAAACTGTCATGTTTGTGTAGGAATGGTTGTAATATCTACTACATGTTAAGGGTGTTTCTTGGACATTTATTAGAGATGGAATGTTTTTAAGTGTTGGTCTAACTTGAGTAGCTCTCTGTTCCTTTGTGATTGCTTTGATTCTGTTAATTTGCTTGTTTTAGATGATGTTATTAGCATTTGGAGTTTATTCTATTGAATATTTCTGCATAAAGCTGTTGACACTGGAGTAACTTTGTCATCTGCTATATTAAAACGTTTTTAATATCCTTTCTGTAGGCACTGAGATTAAGGTCGAATGAGCTAAAATTGGAGAGGCAATTGGAGAACTCACAGTCTGAAATTTCTTCCTTCAAGTATGCTTTATTATTATTATGATGATGTTGCTAAAGGACTAGTTATCTATATTTTCAGCATAAGTTCATTTCTTATTTCTTCTTTGTAATCTATCCAATATAGAGGCCTTTTTCATTCCGTAGTTATTTTCTAGATTGTAATGCTCATATTGAAGATGGTCATTGTTTCCATTCTGAACCAATGCTTAGATTGTCTGGATATATTTATCCATTTCAAACTTTATGATTATGTGGTTATGAAATATTTATGCAGATGAAAAAAAAGGACATAGTATAAACAAAAAGCTAAGTCTTCTTGTTAAGTGTTTAATTTGTGCATTAAAATAATTCAATATGACATAGAATGCAATTTTATGTAATAAGTCGCTTTTATTTGCAGTCATATTTAACATCAAAGTATGTTTTGTTAGTGACCATAGGAGAGCTGATCCCTCAGTATGCTTGGATTCTGTTTTCTATTAAGTTTTATACACAGAAACTGCTTTGTTTTTGGATATTAGTTTTGCTGCTTATGCCATGTGAATGATTGTTGTCAAGTACCTCATTATTGGATGAATTATTTGTGATTGTTATTTACTAAATAAAGAAAACAGAAAAGAAGAAGAAGAAAAAGGGTGGTGAATGGTGATATGGGATTTAAATTGCGTCTGCTATTGCATTGTGTTTATCGTGATTGCGGACGTGACAGATGCTATCGCAGTCTTTGTGGGCATCACAGTCTTGGACTTTTTTCTGATTCGTGCAACGTATTGTAAAACATAACAATTATAATTATAAAAACCATTTTTTTAAAACCGGTGATAACAGGGAATAGCGTTCGTTGTTGCTGCTATTTCCGTTATAGCATTTTTTTGTGGCCATTATGCACTGTTATTGGCACAATTTTTGTTCCACATCACTATTTGATGGTTAAGTGGCCGCGGAGGGTGCCACTACTGTGAAATAGTGGTCACGACACAGCTATCGAACTGCTATTTGAATCCCTGGTAATAGTGTTTATTATTGGTTTTGTGCATTTTGATTTCATGAATTAATAAATTCTTACTTTTTGTAGTTTTACCCAGGGAATCTCTTTGGTATTGTTTCTTACGTTTTCCATAATATTATCACGGAAATGTATTTTCATGTCAAGTTCTCTGTTATGCAAGGATGTCTTATTCATTTTTAATCTTGCAGAAAGAAAATGTCAAGCCTAGAGAAAGAGCGTCAGGATTTTCTGTCAACTATTGAAGCTCTTCAAGAAGGTAAGTTTTAAAATCTCAGGGGTGTTTGTTATTATAGTATTTAGTTATACGTAAGTTTTTATGATTTTTCCTATAATAGCCATATGCTTTCGTAATATTCTTATTCATTTAATGCAGAGAAGAAGGTACTCCAGTCGAAGCTTAAAGATGCTTTCCGCAGTGGAAAGTCCGTTAATGTTATCAAGAATCCTGCTTGTAAGAAGGATATGTCAACTTCAACAGAAGATCTAGGTAATTGCGTTGCCTTTTTTATTGACATCTACATGCATAAATGGCGTATATTATAAATAAGTACCTAAAGTATACCAATTTTTAAATCTAAGTACCTAAAGTATTTTTTGGTCAAAATAGGTACATAGAGTATTTTTTGGTCAAAATAAGTACCTAAAGTATTCAATATTTTTCATCTAAGTTCTAAAAAATTTGACACATGACGTTAATTTTTTTTTTGAAAAAAGAGGAGAATTTTATCAATGGCTTACACATGGGACTACCTTGGTCAGAGCCTCGTTAAAAAACCTCCCTACCCCTAAGTGGAGGAAAAAGAGTGCATCTGAGCAATGGCACAAGAGGATACAATGACAAAAACATAAAACACAGAGCAAACATTCCCAAAACTTAACCCCAAATCATATGCGCTCACTTCACACTCTTGGACTACTATAGGAACAGGACAACAGTAACCCCAGAATTACTAGAGAAAAAACTCTCCCTAAACATGGTACACCCCTATTGCCATATTTGCCAACTGATCAGCCGCCATGTTGCAGCTTCTTGGGATTTGATTAATTACAAACATCTCTCTTGCAATTGCAGCTTCTAAAGGGTGAATTTAGGCATTAGATGAAAAATATGGAATACTTTAGGTACCAATTTTGACCAAAGAGAAGTTTAGATACTTACTTCGACCAAAAAATACTTTAAACACTCGAATGAAAAAAAGGTGATATACTTCAAGTACTTTTGATATAATCCTGCATAAATTATCGTATCTTATTTTACTGAACCAAAATTCAGTTGCATATGGCAGGAAACTGCTAAACACATTCCCAATTCCCAAAATACTATTGGTCTGAGACTCAGGGTCACATGAATTCTGCACAGGGTCAATTTTTGCTCAATATTGGTATATCCCCATAAGTTGAGTATACAGGTTGAAGCGTAGCGAGATTTAAGAAAAAAATTTCTCCTTGAAGTTGTATATTGTTTTGACTCTGATTTGAGGATATGACTATGGCATGTCTTGTAGGTTGGATTAATGAGATAAGTGTAGTATTATTATCTTACATATTAGAAGCGTTGCTCTTGTGCTAGGTTTGGAGTAGGTATTTATTAGGATGAGGATGAGTTACTTCAACATTCGAGTTTTTGTAATGCATTTGTACCACACATGAGCCTGATGCTTCGGAGTACGCATTGATATAAACATATCATCCTACATGGACGTACAAATAAGAAAACTTAAGGACAATTTAGTATTAGTTCTAGACCAATATCAACATCCGTATTTGAACTTGATTTTGAGCTACTTGAAAGGAAAATCAAATATATTATTGTTGCAGTGCATCAAGCTCCAGTACTTCATAGCCGTTCTGACAAGTCTGCTGGCGATTGTAGTATTTATGGTGATTCTTTTAAGTTGCTTTGATTTTCTATGGTCCTTTGTTTTAATGTCGATTTATTTGTTGCATTTTTTGCAGCAAGTTCGGACGCTACTTCTGATGACAAGGAACCAAATATCAGTAATGATGCCTCTACAGCAAGCTTGCTGCCTGAAAATGGAGGATTCGAAGTTTCTTCTGTTTATATTCCTCCTGATCAAATGAGGATGATTCAGAACATTAATTCTATGATTTCTGAGGTAGATCATTTTACATGTTTCAGATTTTCTTCTGGTTTTTATTATTATTTTTTACTCTGTTATAATCACCGGACCACATTTTTCTTGTTGCAGTTAACAATGGAGAAAGAAGAACTGATACAAGCTTTGTCATCCGAGTCATCTCAAAGTGCAAAGCTGAAGGTAACATACCCGAACTAGACATATAGTCATTATTTTCAAGTATTTGTATTAGTTTCATTTGGTTTTTGTTGCTTGGCGTCGTATTAGAATACATAGAAAACTTCTAAAAAATTGAAAAACTTGAAGGTGGAATTTAAGAACATATTTTAATTAGAGAAACTAATTGAAGGCACAGCATTTAAGTATTATTATATTTTCAGTAATTTTCTTGCCGACTATATTTCCATTTTTTTCAATTTGGCATATGAACTGCTTTTTCTTGCTAACTGTTTTCAACGGGCTCGTTAAATGGTTGATTGTTTCTCATTCTAAATGAATGATTGATTATAATTTCCTCTCTCTATAACATTGTTAATTCAAATGTGAAGGAATTGAACGAGGAGTTGTCTAGGAAACTTGAACTGCAAACTCAAAGATTGGAGCTTCTGACCGCTCAAAGTCTGGCAAGTGATAATATCCCGGCTAGACAACCTGAGTCTCGAATAATTCATGAGATTACTGCTCCATATGCAGATGAGGGTGATGAGGTACCATTTCTCTCTCTCATGTTAGTTATTTTTATTCTAACGTTATCGATTTTCGTAGCAACATGTTTACCTTGGTTTGGAGATGCACTCATTTGCACTTTTAAGTCATCTTACTGGAAGATTGAGCCTTCTGTATATGTTAACGTTCAATTCAACCTTGCCAATAATCGATACACGCAGATATTCGAGAATTTCAAACATTTAAAGTCTTTAATTTCCTTGTAGGTGGTGGAGAGGGTATTAGGATGGATCATGAAGCTCTTCCCTGGAGGGCCATCAAGACGGAGACCCAACAAGCGGCTTTCGTACTAAATCCACATAATCTTGGAAAAGACAGGTCTAAACTTGCATATACCTTTGTTCTGGTTTGCCTTCCCTTGTTTTTGGTGGTTGTGAGGGAGATTGCAAATTCATATAGTTCGAGTCAATTATACACAACTAATTCTTTTTTGATAGAAGAAAAAATTAGCTCATATTGATCGGGTTACCAACAAAATCCAAATGTCAGTTTGTTAGAGTGGCATAAGGAAGGCCCTCGCCGCAGTCACTGTGTTTTCGTTTCCGGTATCAAATATTGATGGGAGGGGAAATCACTCGATGCTGAGAGGAACTAAGAGACATAAGGTATAGGAGAGATTGTTAAGTTTGTAGCGTGCATTTGTTGGATTTATGATGAACAAATTTGGGTTTTTAAGAAACACTTGATTCTGTTGCCTTCACTGTGACTGCTTTGATGCATCTTTAGTCCATAAAAAGGTGGCCTTTGATGCAAATGCCAAGTTTTTTTAGTTAGTGTTAAAGACAGTAAATTTTGAACTCGAATTTGAGTTTCGGTTAGAACTCGAAGTCGAATATGAGAACCCAACTCATTAAATTTTTTTTGATCGGCCAACTAAATAATTTACATGACAGGTCTTGGGTCATTAAGATTAGATCAACTAAATCATAATTGAAATTGCATACAACACAATATCTAAATAAATCTGAAGAAAACTCACACATAATTTACGTAGCAAGAGATTCGAACATGAAATATTTTTGTGCAATCTGTACAACCATATCGCTCTCCCGATAGATGTTTCTCAAACCAGAAACAACCCAAGTCTCGTTCGTGTAACTTCATCTTTAGGAAGCTCACCACTGGCCGAAGAAGCACAGGCGAGATCAAGATTGAAATTGCAGGAATCACGCTACCACGAGAAGCAAGAGCATCACGTCTCCTTCATGCGTGTGAGATAAACATGCATACTATCACTGCCCTTCTTGAGAGGCTGAAGTTTGTAACGAAGACTCATAACATCAGTGGTGGATTGATTTGCAAAGGATTGAAGAACTGTGCTCCGTACAGCAGTTGCCGCGCGTTTTTGTCCAAAACAAACTGTGTTAGGAGAGGACTGCTTACCATTAAGAGAACCAAGAAGCAAGAGAACTATCCTGAGTGAGAAAACCTTCATAGTTATCATTCGGAACCATTCCACCGGCTTTATTAACGGTCGTCTCCGACAGAGGTCTCATTAATCTCGTCAAGAACCACTCAAACCGATGACTCCTGCCTATGAGCAACACTTCTTGTTTCCACAAAAGAAAGTTTGTTTCATCAAGGTTAACATTCACTTTCTTGTTGGTAAATGCCTTGGTATTCTTTGAAAACTCCATCGAAGTGGCATTGCCTTGCTGCCCTGCGCCAACTTGCGACATCGCAACAACTCCAACACGACTGAGCAATGGGAGATTGGAAGTTCAAAGAGAAACCAGACAGCATTTATATCTGACAGATACCCATGCAGTTGACCTAACAGACTATCAGTTTTAACAAACTAAACGCCTATAGCTCAGCTAAAGCCACGTGTTTCACAAGCCGATTATACAACCAATACATCATCATCTTCCGACCGATATATTTTAAGAACTTTCACAGCCTTTTCATAAATCTCAGTATGGTAAGAAGACGGTGAAGTTGAATTTTGATTATAACTCTGACTATAGAGAGACAGTAAATACCCGATCTTCTCTCGACCCTTTGCATCACCAATCATTTGTGCATAGGGATTGACTCCTCCAGATGTTCCCATAGTTTTATCACCTTCTCCTACCTCCAGAATGTTTTCAAGCCCTTCCAGGCAAACTTTGACTATCCTTGGATCACGACAGATAAGAAGATCACACAACGGTTTGATGCAACCTTGATGTGCAAGGAACCTAAAATATAGATAACTTATCATCGATAGGTTAGCAGGAACATGATTTCAAGCAACTAATATAGGAAACCATTCTCATACCTGATCTGATCAAGAGTTCCGGAAGATATAGCATTTGAGATTGCCCTTGCAGCTTCTCCCTTGATATCGAATTCAGCATTTTGTAGCAGATGAACCAGCGGAGATTTGATATCAGCTTCAATCACTGCCTGTAAAATCATACCATTTGCATAATCATTATACAAATGAAAGTGGAACAAAGAGATCATCAAATTTTAATAAAAGGGAAGTGTCTAAAACCTGGAGTTGCACATCATTTCCTGCAACGATATTTCCAGCTATACGAAGAGCAGGTTTTAGCACTGAAAGAGATGAGTGCCTATGGAAGCCAAAGAATTTTTATCCTACTAATGAAAACGACAAAAAGAAAAACAAGAAATAGAAAGACTTTTTAGAATTAATAACCGTGATATAGTGTCTAACTCACAGCAAAAGCTCCACCAGACGTCTGCATACACCTGCTTCAATAACAGCTTGAATTTCATCATTGGAAAGATATGAGAGTGCCCAACATGAAATCACATAAGACTTTTTCATCATTTGAATGAATAAGACGTGCCAATGTAGGAAGTGCAGGCTTAACCTGTAAAAGAAATAACTAGTACCTTGACAATGATACTCAACATCCATTAGCCACCAGATTAGATTTCAAAGATCCAAGACAATGAATTTTCTTTGTAAAAGGAATAACGTTAAACATGAAGTAACAAGGTCAAACCTGATCAAATGGGGGCCTGGGTTTGCCTCGACAAAAGTTTAACAGGGTCCATGTAGCAATTCTTAGTACAGAAAGTTTAGGATGCTCATTCAAATTAGCCAATAAAGGAAGCAAAGCACCATGTCCAAGTACAACATCACGACTTGCAGTAGAATCACCAGCAACATTTCCTAATGCCCAGATTGACTGAATTCCAAAACAGAGAATATATATGATTCGTACAAGCTTTTTCTAAGTAAGATTATAAAACTATAATAATTTCATTTCCTATGCATACCTGCTCGCGAACATCATCACTTAGAGAATCGAGTAACTTGATGAATATTGGAACAGCCCCGTGATCAATCACCACCTTTGTGTTCTCAGATGTGCCAGAAGCAATATTTGTAAGTAACCAGGCTGCCTCAAACTAAATGATTATTAGATTAGCAACAATCTTAAACTAATGATGGCATAATGTTGAAGCTTTTCTAACGGGAAATCTAACCTGAAGCTGTGGGAAATCTTCCCTTAAAAGGAACTCAACAAAGCGAGGAACAACTCCAGCTTGTATCACTTGGTCAATGGGTGGACTGTTTTCTATGATAAATAACAAAAGGAATTGAAGTACATAATTTAAGTCTTATATGATCATCAAATGAAATATTTCAAAATGATTTCTCACCAACTGAAAGCAATTCCCTAAACTGTGCGGTTGCCTTAAGCTGCAGATTAGTATCATCAGTCCAAACACCAATAACCATGGCAGGAACATTTTCCAGCAGAATTGGCTGTGGTTGGGGCGGTGCTTCACGTCGCTTCTTCTGCAAACTCTCTTCACAGCTAACGTCCTCTACCTAACAGCAAGAGCAAGTCATTATAGAGATTTGTCTCATAATGCATTTTATCTCTATATTTAAAAAGTTTTAGATGTAATTAACTTACTTCTCTTTGCAGAACACATTCAATGTGAGCGATCGTCTGACCGTTACATTCTTTACAATAGTATACATGATCTTTTGGGTTTCTCTCTTTCTCGCAAAAATCACAATAATACAATCCGGAATCATCTTCAACAAAAGAATCCGTCAGGGTTAAAGGATGACAATGATATTTGGATTTGACAGTGTCTGGTATGGGAACACATTTTAAATGAAAGTTGATGGAACACCGTAGACAACGATAAAAGGGCTCTCCTTTACAGATATTTTCACATTTCTTACAAGTCAAATGTGTTTCCCATGTTGAATAGGAGTAATCTGCACAGAGGAACTGATAATCTATCCCGAAATAATAAAGGTCATCTAAGTGGGACTCACATTTTAAGGGTCTCTTTAAGGAATTAGCACATATAGGATGGAGGTCTAGTTGACAATCTTCACAACTATATGCAAAGCTATCTCGAAATATGTACAATGGGCAGGCATAACATTGTGGGTTTGAATGTTCCCCTGGTTTTTGGATAACCAACATGTGTTTTAGATGAAACGGGACTTGAATCTTTTGTGGTAGCCTAAGGCATGACTCGTGAACGATAAATTCGCAAGACTCGGAGCAAAAATAGGCTGGACCTAAGATTGACAAGTCACAAATTTTGCATCCTGTTTCTTCTAATGGGTCACTGCAGTAGCCAAGGACAAGCTTATGCTGGTGGCTGAAATGGTGCAACTCGGTTACTCTATTCATCTTTTCTTCTTGTGAAACCCCAGTTCCATGGGATGTTAAAGCAGCGCATTTCACATCAAGCTTGAAATCACATTGCTCGCACAAATATATGAAGCCACGACAAATGTCTTTACACTCGTCACATGTAATGAATCTGTTTCTCCATCTCTCACGTGCATATAAAAGATGTAGGAGTGAAGTATTGAGGTAAAGAGGATGAGTAGAATGAAAAGGGTGTCGTATCTCTTCCGGCAATTTAGCGCATTTTTCATGCAGGTAAAAGTCCTCACACATATCACACAAGTAGATAGGACTATCAAGTACCAGACGACAACCTCGACAATATTTTTCACCTTTCAACTCCTCGGTTACCTCATACATTTTATCTTCGTGGATGATAGGTCGAAACTGCATTTAAAAAGAAACAAGTATGTTATATAATTTGCATAGGCAGAATAATTTATATAGTATAATTTCTGGCAATTTGAACCAGCCTCCAATGTAAGCTGGAGCATAAAGAGAATTTTAAAATTGAGGGCTGATGCAGCCTCTTTTAATTCTAACTCTTTTCAGTTGAAGGAAGTTTGGGATGAGATTAGACCAAAAGGGCAGAAAGTTCCATGGCATAAGCTTATTTGGTTTCCAATGCATATCCCGAAGCATTGCTTAATAGTTTGGATGGCTATTCAGGACAGATTACAGACCAGAGATCGACTGCAACGAATGGGAATAATCACTGATACAGTATGCGTAAACTGCAACTTATCTCACGAGACAAGAAACCACCTATTTTCTGAGTGTTCACTAGCTGTCTGCTTATGGAATTCTGTTTTAACATTGAATGGAATGAATCCTACAAACTTATCATGGGAAGAAATGGTTGCTACAGCAAGCACTTCATGGAAAGGGAAATCTCTTATCACCTTCATTTTAAAGATAGCTTGGTCTGCTTTTATCTACAATATATGGCAGGAAAGAAATCAGCGAATATTCCAACATCGATCAAGACCTGCTGAAAATTTGCTAGCTGAAATCATTGATGCTGTTCGGTTTTGTCTTAGGGGGAAAAATATCAATAGGCTAGATAGTACTAATCTTA